CCTGGGATGGGAGTCCCGCATTGGAATCCCTGCTCCTCAGGGAGCCTGTTTCTCACCCTGCCTGCCACTTCCCCGGCTTGTTCTCTCTCTGACAAATAAAATCTTAAAAAAAAAATCATAATGGCTTCTCAAAAGCAACACTGGAAGCAAGAAGAGAATCTGGTAAAATTGAAAAAACACATCCTCTATGAACCAGCAATTTCACTCCTACATATATAACCCAGAAATTGTCCACATATGGGGCACCTGGGTCACTCAGTCCATTAAGCAGCTGACTCTTGATTTCGGCTCAGGTCATGATCTCAGGGTCAAGAGATCGAACCCCGTGGGTGGGCTCCACCCACACTGAGCACCGAGTCTGCTTGTCCCTCTCCCCTTCCTCTTTGGGCCCCCTCCCCTGCCCACCTCACACACCTGTGCGCACACTCTCCATCTCTCACTCAAATAAAATCTTAAAAAAAAATTTTTTTCCACATAATAGCTGGGCTAAATGTACAAGACTGTTCATAATAGCATTATTTCTAATAGCCCAAACTGGAATTAATCAAAATGTTCATCAAAAGAGAGGAGATAAATTGATGTATACTCATACAATAGAATACCATAAGCCTTTATGGAAAAAAATATTTTTTAAGATTTTATTTATTCATTTGAGAGAGAGAGACAGAGCGAGCAGGGGGAGAGGCAGAGGGAGAGGGAGAAGCAGACTCCCCACTGAGCTGGGAGCCCAACATGGGGCTTGATCCCAAGACCTGGAGATCATGACCTGAGCCAAAGGCAGACACCCAACCATCTGAGCCACCCAGGCACCTCAAGCCTTTATGAAAATTAAACCACAGCTATTTACAACAATATAGATGTATCCTAAAAAAAAAAAAAAAAAAAGTGAATGATTAACCAAAAGTCAAGGGAAGGGCTGAGTTATGATTGGAAAGAGATATATGGCACTACTAGAGTGCCTTCAATATTCTACTTTTTGACCTGTGTGGAGATTACACAAAGGATTGTTTTATAATTATTCATTAAGCCATACATGTTTTATGCACTTTTCTATGTGTATGATGAATTTTATAATAAAAAAAGAAAAGATGGTAATGGAACAATGCTTACAAAATTGTGAAAGGAAATTATTCTCAATCTAGAATTCTACACCCATCAAAATTCTAATTTTGAGAGTAAGAGACATTTTCAAACATATGAAGGCTCAAAAAAATGTGCCATGTACATTTCTTCAGGTAAATATTTGAGGAAGCCCTCCATCAAAATTAGCACATAATCATAGAGAGAGGAAGACCTCAGATCCAGAAAATACACCCTAACACAGAGGTACAGGAAATTACAGGGACAACTGTAAATACCACTATTCAGAATCCCCAGGATAACTGCACACAGCAGCACCAAAGTAGTACCAAAGTACTACCAACCATAGAGGGCATTTTAAGGGCTGTCATCACGTGATGCTCCATTCCTTTGTACAACCTCTTCAACACACAAAAAGTCCTGGAAGATAAGCTCCACCAAGGGGGTGTAAACCCAAAGAAAATAACAAGAGATAAGAAACAGGACTCAGGGGGTGCCTGGATGGCTCAGTCAGTTAAGCGGCTGATTCTTGGTTTGGGCTCAGTTCATGATCTCAGGGTGGCAGGCTCCAGGCTCTGTGCAGAGTCTGCTTGGGATTCTCTCTCTCCCTCTCCTTCTGCCCCTTCCCCCTCAAATAAATAAATCTTTTTTTTTTTTTAAGATTTTATTTATTTGCCAGAGAAAGAGCAAGAGAGGGAGAACAAGAGCACAAGCAAGGGGAGCGGCTGGTAGGGGGAGTGGCAGACTCCCTGCTGAGCAAGGAGCCCGATGCCCAACTCAGTCCCAAGACCCTGGGATCATGACCTGAGCTTAAGGCAGACACTTAACTGACTGAGCCACCCAGGTGCCCCTAAATAAATAAATCTTAAAAAAAAAGAAAAGAAAAGAAGAGAAACAGGAACTCAAACCCAGGAAGAAAGGTAAAGAAAAGTTCCATGGTTCCATTCCTGTGTAATAGGCCTAGATAAGAGAATCACTAACTCCTGGGAGGATATCTCCAAGCGGGGGGGAATTAACTGATGTAGCTAACTTTGTAAAAAAAATTGAGAACCATGTGTACATGTGGAATTAGCAAAAGGATGAATAAAACTAAAGAAGTGACAAAACAAATATTAGCCTCCAGAAAAACAAAAAGAAGGAAAAGAAACAATCATAGTATAGAACATTGCTCAGCTGAGAATATTTACAGGCACCAGCAGTTCCTAAAGTGTGGTCTAAAGATCCCTCAATGTCTCCTTTCAGGGAATCCACACGGACAAAACTATTTTCATAATGATCAAAGACATTTGTCTTTTCCACTATGTTAACATTTGCGCTGATGGTGCAAAAGCAATGGTGGGTAAAACTGTGGATGCTTTAAGTATAAATTAAGGCAAGAGCACCAACTGTATTTATTAGTAGTTGTATTCTTCACCACATCATACTTGCAGTTTGGAGGAAAAAAAAGCCAATTTGAGTTAAGAATGTCCTTGAGGAAGCAGTAAAAATTACTGATTTTATTATCTCAATCCTTGAGTATACATATTTACATTTTTTAATATTCTATGTGATTAATGCATAAAGTATTCTGCATAATGAATTGTGGTAATTGGAGGAAAAGCTCTTGTGTTTGAGTTGCAAACTGAACTAGCCAGTTTTTTTTTAAAGAAGGAATGACAGGAAAACTATGTTATTTGGGGTACTGGATAGATGTTTTCTCAAAATGAATAAAGGGAGCCTATCATTTTCAAGGAACATAACAGGCAGTATTTGTTGTCAATGATAAAATTTGATCTTTCAAGTGAAAATGAGAATTGTATGCTTCCTAATACTAAGACTGATGATGATATTAATAAATGTTATTTGGAAGATCTGCTTATCTCAGTGAGCCAGTATTTTTCAAATGATCAATTTATGATCTTTAAAAACCACTGTTAGGTAAAAATCCCATTTATAGTTCAAGATAGATCAATGAGATTTTACTGTAATAGAGTAGGAAAAGTTCACTGACGTGGTTTCCAATAAGCTTTAGGTAAACACCACTTGTTGAGTTTTAGTGAAATAGCATAGAATACCCACAATTTTTTTTTAAGATTTTATTTGAGAAAGAGGGAGAGAGCACAAGCAGGGGGAGGGGCAGCGGGAGAGGGAGAAGCAGACTCTCCGCTGAGCAGGGAGCCTGATGTGGGGCTTGATCCTAGGACCCTGAGATCATGACCTGAGCTGAAGGCAGGCGCTTAACCAACTGAGCCACTTTGGTGCCCCAAGAATATCCACAATTATCTGGAAAGGCTATTAACATACTCCTACTTCTTCCAACGATTTATTTGTGTGAGGCCAGGTTTTCTTCATATATTGCAACTAAAAATACCACAACTGATTAAATACAAAAGTAAGTAGGTATGATAATCCAGCTGCCTTCTAGTAAGCTGAACATTAGATTTTCAAAAAATATAAATCAATGCTCATTCTCTCACTTTTTTGAAAATATATTTTTCATGAAAATGTTATCTTAGTATGTAATAAGTTTATTATTTTAAGTAATGAGTATTTTTTAAAATTTCTCAGTTTTAATTTCTAACAGTAAAAATACATCATGATAAGGGTTTTTAGAGGGTAAAGAGATTTTCTCCCCTGGGCATAATTTATTTTTGCACAGGCATAAATTAGAATCAGGAGGTAAAAAAATTAAGAATAAATAGTGCAGGGGCACCTGGGTGGCTCAGTCAGTTAAGCGTCCGACTCTTGATTTTTGGCTCAGGTCAGGACCCTAGAGTTGTGAGATGGAATGCCAACTGGACCTGCTTAAGATTTTTCTGTCTCCCTCTCCCTTTGCCCCTTCCCCCATCTCTAAAAGAAAAAGGAAAAAAAAAAAATCAATATGGCAGCATTTGTGACAGGAGGGATTCTGAAACCAAAAGTTCTCAAAAAATTTGAGAACTGCAGGCACCAGCATAATAAAAACCAAATATGGATTTAACCAAAATTGTTATATATTATTTTGGGAAGGTGGAAGAGAAGCAGAGCTAATCAAGATGGTTAATAAAAGACAGAAATGTGCTCTGAGCTACTTGCCAGAGATAAGTACTTTAAAGACCCACGGTTCCACTTACCTAACAAACCTCATTTCATTCTAACCTGTACAGTCTGCCTTCCTTCCTAAATGATCTCCTTAAAAAGCCAGAGATGGGGTCTTCTTCACTTCTGTGCCCTCACAAGGCCTCATTACAGCTTGTATCATACAGCAAGTATTTACTAATTATTTAACTCAATAAGTAAAAAAATGACATAATCCAATTCACAAAATTAGGTCATATTAGAGCAAATAACTGTTTCTTCCATTTTTAAAACTTATACAGCAGTCTTGGAAAGTATGTTTGAAACTTAAATGAGATCATTATTCAGTGTATTCTTTTATTTTTTTTATTTATTGGAGTGATACAGAGAGAGAGCTAGAGAGCACAAGTGAGGGAGAAGGAGAAGCAGGCTCCCCACAGAGCAGAGGAGCACGATGCGGGGCTCGATCCCAGGACCCTGGGATCATGACCTGAGCCGAAGGCAGACGCCCAACGACTGAGCCACCCAGGCGCCGCCATCATTCAGTGTATTCTTAAGTCAGTGATTCTGTGACTCCGAGACCACTATTCATTATGTAAATACACAGGAAACCACATATGCATGCACGCATTTGTTTTCCTACCTGTTGTAACTTAAAAAAATACTCTTGAATTTCAATAACAAAGTTTATTTTTCTCTCCCCTATACTCCCCCCTCCTCCATCCCCCTGCCTTTCAATCTCTGTTGACTTCTTCAACCCTTTAGTCCTTCTGGATTACACCTCACTTTTGTGTACCATCACCCATCTTTAGGTTATCATGACCAACAAAAGACCTTGAGGAGTTCCAGGAACCTACAGAGAAACTAGAGAAAAATAATCTTACCAATAGTATGATTCCCATAAAGAAGCTGCTCCAAAATTGCTGTTTTCCCCACAGATAACAAGCCACAGACCACAACCTTGCAGCCCTTTCCCATCTTCTCTCAGGATATATCACTGTGAAGAGAATAAAAGATCTGTGAAACTGTATACTGTTTGAAGCAACTGTTTTTCTTTTCTTCTATGTTTAAATAAGTCATACATACACAGGGGATAATTCCAAAAATAAAAAAGAATACAATAGGCATAGCCTTCCAAACCCCATTCCTAGTCTCCCATTTGCTTCCTTAGAGCAATCAGTATTACCAGTTTCTTGTACATTTTTGCAGAGATAATCTAGATAAACACAGGAATACATGTAGATATGAATACATGTTTATTTTCAAAAAGAAAAAAACATTTTATACAAAGAATATTTCAACACTAAGTCTATAGGATCTAAATCAAATCCTAGATGAAACCAATTCTTGAAAGACACTGCCTGCTCATCAATATTTACCTGGAAAAAAAAACATTTAAGCAAAAATTTAAGGAGGTATGAAGACAAAAATCTGGATAGAGAACAGACATGATTTTTTAGAGAAACATTAATGCTATTAATGCCATCAGTCTTTTCTCAGGAGAGTGAAAAACTGGATTTTCATAGCCACGTGGGCTCTCTTTGTCATACTTCTTTTTGAGTTATGTTTTTTAAGATTTTATTTATTTATTTGACAGAGAAAGAGAGAGAGAGGGAGAGAGAGCACAAGCAGGGGGAGCAGCAGGCAGAGGGAGAGGGAGAGGGAGAAGCAGGCTCCCCACAGAGCAGGGAGCCTGATGCAGGGCTGAATCCCAGGACCCTGGGATCATGACCTGAGCTGAAGGCAGATGCTTAACCGACTGAACCACCCAGGTGCCCCTGAGTCATGCTTTTTAATGCTAGAAAAATTGCTCATCCTAACATATCTAAGGAAGAGCAAAATTGGGTAACGTGGTCTTCAATTTTCCTCAAAGCTTTTATTTTCCAGAAGTCAAGATACCAGAAACCAAGGCAGAAAGGAAAAAAAACTCACTGAATACAACAGAATAACTTGATAAGAGAATTTAAATTTCCACACTGCCTTTTTTCATCTCCACCACCTTCTTATTTCCCTCAGTTCTCTTCTTACCTAGAAGTGTAGAACATGCAATAAATGACTAAAAGGGATGCCACAAGTCCTTGAAGTCAGAAAGCAACTACACCAAGAAAGTTCAAATAAGCATTCAAAGGGCTTCCAGGTACCTTTCTGTATATGCACGTGTATTGTACATTAGTATTGTTTGTTTTAACCAATACCAAAAATATTAAGCAACAAATGAACTTCCCGTAACTCTATTTTCTCAAAGGCTGTAATATTTATTTGTTTTAGAAAGAGCAAGCAAGTGTGTGAGCCAAGGTGGGAAGGGCAGAGAATCTTTTTTTTTTCTTTTTTAGGATTTACTTATTTATTTTAGAGAAAGAGCACACATGTGCATGTTGGGGGGAACAGGGAAAGAGAATCTCAAGCAGACTCCACGCTGAGTGCAGAGCCCAACACAGGGCTCGATCGCACCACCCTGAGATCAGACCTGAGCTGAAACCAAGAGCTGGACACTTAACCGACTGAGCCACCCAGGCACCTCAAAAGTCTATAATATTTTATGACCCAAATTAGCCACACCACCAATCTGCTGACAGGAAAAATTTTACTGCTACCATTATTGTAGCACAGTAATAATACAGCGCTCATTTCCAGAACAGTACACTACATTTTACCAGTAGAGAAATAATCATCACTTAACGTAATGTAGTTATTATTTCCTGGCGGCATGCTTGAGATCCTTCCAGATCTTCCCAAGAATATTTATCACCTATTTCTATGAGAACTACTTCTCTTAAGGGAGACACACACACACACACACACACACACTCACACTCACATATATTTTCTTAAAGTAATCTCTATGCCCAATGTGGGACTTAAACTCATGACCCCAAGATCAAGAGTTGCATGCTCTACCAACTGATCCAGCCAGGCACCTCTTTTTCTAAAATATATTTTCAACATAACTGCAATAGAAAAATTCTCAGTCTTTATTTGTAAGAGGAGAGCTCTGCGTCACACTGATCATCTATGGGGTATATCTCCTGTGTCACACTGATCATCTATGGTATGATATCTCCTATGTCAGCAACTATGGACTATTTTAAAAGGTTTTCTACATCTGAATTTATGATTAATCTAGTATCTCACTTATCGTAGGACTCTACTCTTTTTGCATATTGTGGTTTCCTAGAAGTTTATGATATCATTGAATCTTTCTTTCAAAGGGTTTTTAATGATAACAGTTAAAATTTAAAGGAAGTTGCCACTTAACCACGTGTCACCAAGAGGATGAAAAAGAAATCTGTCAGAGGATGAGAAAAATGTTGGCAGCACAGAACAATTCTGTTGTCAGAAAAGGTTGCTACTGGAATCTAAATTCTAATTTTCTATTGTTATTTCCCTTCCTCCAAAAATGTCTTAGTCCCAGAAGAATTTCTAAATACCTTACCTTCTCTCCTCTTCCTTTCAATCAAAAAAATGTCCCTTTACCATACATTATATCAATCTTCAAATAAAAACAAGTGCTTTAAAAGGGTAGGCACATGTTGTAGTTAAGTGAACCAGATAGTTAAAAGAAAAAACATCTCAATTATTAATAGCAATAGACTCCCCATAAAAGGGAGGCAAATATGACTTCTGGGGACTGAAGCAAACTGGGAAAATGCTGAAACCAACAGAATCTTAAGAAATCCAGAAATCAACTACTCCAGTCTTTGGAAGTGGTCTTAATCTATTTGCTTTAAAAGTGGCATGCTACAATTATACTTTGATCACTCACTGATATTAGGATTAGCAGATGAAGTGTGTTAAAAAAATACATTACTTTGTGTGTGTATAAATAAACTGGGGGAGTTGTTTCAGTCTATCAAGAGAATCTTCATCAAGGGCAAATAGTAACAATAACTGAATAGAGGTTACTCAAACACTCGGTAAGGATTTTAAGGTATTTGGGGCGCCTAGGTGGCTCAGTCGTTAAGCGTTTGCCTTCGACTCAGGTCATGATCCCGGGATCCTGGGATCGAGCCCCACATCAGGCTCCCTCTCCCCCTCCCCCTGCTTGTGTTCCCTCTCTCTCTGGGTCTATGTCAAATAAATAAATAAAATCTTAAAAAAAAAGGATTTTAAGGTATTTTACAAGGAAAGAAGCAAGATAAAACAGAATAATCCATGTTAAATATTTTACACCACCAAAAACAAAACAAAGATGAAAGGATAAATGTGATTAGTCAAAGCATAGCTGAAACATTCTAGGTTCTTGTCCTCAAGTGGGAAACAATATTACCTAAAGCTGAAGACTAGCGACCTGCTAATCAAAGTATTAATTCTTCTAAAAAATAGTATCTAATGTTTTTTAGTAGGCTCCACACCCAGCATTGAGCCCAATGCAGGGCTTGAACTCACAACCCTGAGATCAAGACCTGGGCTGAAAAGTAGACGCTTAACTGACTGAGCTACCCAGGCACCCCGGTTAGTATCTAATGTAAAGCACTAGTTAGAACTACTTGGTAGAGTCCCTACTCTAAGTAACTGCTAGAAAATAAAATTCAATCTGTGACCTATTAATCCTCATCTGATATAAATGACTTGAGAGAACAGGCTTAACAGGCAAAATCCAATGCAGTCTTAACTGTATATTGCTTTGCTTTCCAGGCTAATCAATAATGTTTCTAGAGAATAAAAACATGATTTGATCCATTCCTGTGGAAAACACTGAGCTTAGTCAATAATCCCTTTAAAGAGCTATCAGAAACAGCTGCCGAAACTGTCAGTACTTCTGTTTTTCTAAGGAAATCATTCTACTTTTTTTTTTTTAAGACTTTATTTATTTGACAGAGAGAAACACAGCGAGAGGGAACACAAGCAAGGGGAGTGGGAGAGGGAGAAGCAGGCCTCCCACTGAGCAGGGAGCCCGATGTGGGGCTGAATCCCAGGACCCTGGGGATCATGACCTGAGCCCAAGGCAGACGCTTAAAGACTGAGCCACTCAGGCACCCCAAATCATTCTACTTTTATAAGTAAAGCACAACTGTTTTTATGCTACTAAAACAGTAGTAATACTATTAACACTTAACATCATAGAGAGATGTTATAGATCATACTATGAAGCCCCGCATGGAGAAAATTTATACACTGTGTATTTATGCAAACATCAGGTACTGTGTGCAACACTTTTACTTATCTATATATGAATAATTTTACATAAACATACATTTAAAAGGTTTTGTAAACAATACTGCACACAATAAAATATAATGAGCAGATTCCAGCTTACCATTCTTTTATTCATTATTTACTGAGGTCTTACCATAATGCCAGGCACGAGGGACAAAACCAGGGGGGCAAAACCAGAAATGACACCTGCCCTCAGGAATCTCAGAATCAATTGGAAATACCAATCCAAATCTTGCAAAACTACTGAGAAACTATAAATTGCAAATGAAGAAACAAAACTGCAAAACTAAGAAATTAGCAGCGATTATTTGCATTGCCAGAACTCCTTTCCAAATGATTCATCCAACTTTGTAGTTATTTTTTTTTAAGATTTTATTTATTTATTTGACAGAGAGAGACACAGCGAGAGAGGGAACACAAGCAGGAGGAGTGGGAGAGGGAGAAGCAGGCTTCCCGCCAAGCAGGGAGCCCGATGCAAGGGCTCAATCCCAGGACACTGGGATCATGACCTGAGCTGAAGGCAGACGCTTAAAGACTGAGCCACTCAGGCGCCCCTGTAGTTATGTTTTTAAAGTAATCTCTACGCCCAACTTGGGGTTCAAACTCATGACCCTGAGATCAAGATTGCATGCTCTACCAACTGAGCCAGCCAGGCACCCTTTTTTAATTAATTTTTTATAGCAATCATTCTTGACTCATTTTTCTTACACCCCACATCTGATCCACCAGTAAAGCCTCCACCTTCGGAACACATCCAGGGCTGGATCACTTACCACCTCCACCACTAATGAAGTGGTCAGAAGCACCATCTTCTCTCACCTGGTCTCTCAAAGATGTCTATGTGATAGTCCCTAAAACCTGTGAGTATTTTATTTTACACAATAACAGGAACTTTGCAGCTGTGATTAAATTAAGATCCTTGAGATGGGGAGACTATCCTGGATTATCTGGGTAGGCCCAATGTAATCACATGTATCTTTTTTTCTTTAAATTTTTTATTGTTATGTTAATCACCATACCACATGTGTCTTTATAAGAAGGACAGAAGTGTGTCAGAAAGAGAAACAGAAATACGAAGATGCTATACTGCTGGCTTTGAAAAGGAAGGGATCAGGAGCCAAAGAATACCAATGGCCTCTAAAAGCTGGAAAAAGCAGGGATGCCTGGGTGGCTCAGTTGGTTGAGCATCTGACTCTTGGTTTTGGCTAGGGTCATGGTCTCAGGGTCATTGGATTGGCCCTTCCACTGGCTCTGCCCAACGTGGAGTTGGCTGTCCCTCTCCCTCTGTTCCTCCCCCTGCTCTTGTGCCTCGCCCCCACTCAAATAAATAAATAAAATCTTAAAAAAAAAAAAAAAGGCTGAAGAAAGCAAGCAAATGGATTCTCCCCTAGCTTCTCTAAAAGGAACACAGCAATCTGATTTTAGCCTACCGAGATTTCTGACCTGTGTAATACAACTAATTTGTGTTATTTTAAGCCAGTTTGCTACAATTAGCAAAAAGAACTAATACAACTTCCTTGTCTCTCTGCTTCAACTTTTGCCTTCTTTTGGCCTCAAAACTGCAATCCAGATAATCCTTTTAAAATGTAAGTCACAGGGGCGCCTGGGTGGCTCAGTTGGTTAAGCGACTGCCTTCGGCTCAGGTCATGATCCTGGAGTCCCGGGATCGAGTCCCGCGTCGGGCTCCCTGCTCGGCGAGGAGCCTGCTTCTCCCTCTGACCCTCTCCCCTCTCATGTACTCTGTCTCTCATTCTCGCTCTCTCAAATAAATAAATCTTAAAAAAAAAAAAAATGTAAGTCACAGAAAGTCACCCTTCTGCTTAAAATCTTCCAATAGTTTTTGATCTCTGGCAGTGTGAAAACCCAAAGTCCTCCCTAGAAACACTTCACCTCTCTGAGGTCATCTGCTAGTTTCCTGCCACACTGCCTCCTTGCTATTTCTGTATGAATCCAGGCATACTCCAGCATTGGCACTTTTCCTTTTGATTGAAATCAGTCCAAATCTCCAAGGCTCACATCCTTCGGGATTTTTCTCAAATGTTTCTCACGACGACTAATCCTGAATATTCCATCCAAAATTTTGACCCCCCACCCCAACACTATCCTTTCCCTCCCCTTAATGTTTGTCTTTAGTACTTTTTACCAAACATAATATATGTCTTATTTATGTTTATTGCCCATTTCCTAGAATTTCTGCTTTCACTATTGCTGCATCCCCAGCAGCTGGGACACTACCTGGCACGTATTAGGCATTTCATAGATATTTGCTGAATAAATCAATGAACCTTGTGAGGACTCCTGGAATGATAAAGCTACGATTAAAAAAAAAAAAAAGGAAAATAGTAAATAAGGGGAGAAAACCAAAACCGGTAATAAGTTAGAAGGTAAACTACATGACTGCGTCAAAAATGAAAATATTCTGGAGACGCAAAAAACAATTTCTCAATAAAGAACTCAACACAAAACGCAGCATTTTCTCGGCATTTCTTCCCAAAACACTCGTACCTGATAACCAAGTCTTGGCACAAAAATATTGTGCCTTTCTAAAAAAAACTGGTTCTGACGTAGCAAACCTGGTACCAAGTCGGTACGCAGGAAAGGCACGGAAATGAAAAGGCGCCGAGCCGCCCGCGCTCCCCTCTCTAGCCCCCCAGTTCCCCACCCTCCGACCCTTCTTTAGGGCAAAATCCCGTGGAGCCGGGGCCTGCGGAGGCTGAAGCCCGAAGGCAGGGCGCGCGCCCCCACCCGCGAAGCCCTGGCAGCACGAACGTCTTATTTGGCTGCTGGGGCAGCGTCGCGAGGGTCTGTCAGAGCGTCTCGGGGTCCAGTCTAGTGGGCTAAACCGGATGGATAGCGCCGCACTGGGGAGCCCGCCGCGACTCCTCAGGTGAGGAGACCGCGGTGCGTGAAGCGGTTCCCTGTACCTCCAGACACAGACCTGGACACCTCCACAGACTCCTAAGACACCGATACTCTGGCAGAGATGCTCCACGACCAGCTTCGGCCACCTGAGCCCCGCCCCCAACTTGCCTCCTCCCGGCTGCAGGACGGCCTTGAACCCTCGCCCGCCGAGGCCTGGCCGAGGACTCTCGCCCTTTGAGCCGCCCCTGCCTCTCAAACTCAAATCCTGAGGGCCAGGGTGCGGGATAATAGGGGAGTCTGCGCCCAATCCGGGCCGAACTCCGCCCACCAGTCTCGCTGCCGGAACTACATGTCCCATGAGGCTGTGGGAGCCGCAGCTTTCCACCGGAAAGAGGCTCGGCGCTGTGGGGGAGGAGCCCAAAAAGGATTGTGGGAGAAAGGCTCTTTCCTTTCCGTTCGGCGGCAGCCATCAGGTAGGCTGTGTTTGTCGAATTCGCTGCTGCATCCGCCGCTCATCTCCCTTCGCCTCAGCCATCCAGACTCGGGGACCCTGCGTCCTCAGAGCTCCTCCTGCCTCCTGTGCGGCGCGAGTTCGAACAGGATGCGGGGCTGCTAGGGCTTGGAGAGGCGGCCCCCGGGGCGGGCTAGGGTGGTGATGTGATGGCGGCGCGAATTCGAGCGGGGCCTGGAGCGTGAAGGAAAAGGAAGCATGGGGCTGAGGGATGGAAGGCCGGGTCTAGAGTGTCCTAAAGCGAGGCCTGCGGATTGGGTGCAATAAGGGATTTTTTTCCCCGAAAGTTTCCTTCGGGGATAACGGCTACAGCACCTTCCCCTAAGGGTATCGGCGAGATCCCTGCAGGCCAGGCCCTTAGGGACGCCGCCTGCCGCATTCAGCAGCGTTCCTCAGTGCTCAAGTCTAACGCCATTCATTCATCCAACAAAAATGTACCGAGACCCTCCCTGCGCTGCTCCGCGCTGGGGTCGCAGAGGTGACAGCGCGGCTTTCCCAGGGTGCAGCTATTCCCTACAGTTATGGAGAGCCATTTTCAGCCTCAGTGGTTTCCTTGTGGCTGGTGGGGAACTAAGATGGACGGGCGCGATCGTCTCATTTTAAATGCATCATTTTTTTTAGCTCAAAGGTAGGCCAGGATGGGCGCTTACAAGTACATCCAGGAGCTATGGAGGAAGAAGCAGTCCGATGTAATGCGCTTTCTTCTCAGGGTGCGCTGCTGGCAGTACCGCCAGCTCTCTGCGCTCCACAGGGCTCCCCGCCCAACCCGGCCCGATAAAGCGCGCAGGCTGGGGTACAAGGCCAAGCAAGGTGAGTGGTCTCTGCATGGATGCGGGGACAAAATTGTGTTCCTGGGGAAATGTTAGAAAACTGCTAATTAGAGGTACTATGGCCCCAATATCTCAGTGTAGAGTGGGAATGAGAAGTTACTCTTCCTGTGTCATAAAGTACTTTGAAAAACACTGGAATGTGTTTTGTTTTTAGAGTAAGTCTTAAATGGGTATTTAACCTTCAGATATACAGTATTTGGCTTATAGTCCAAAATATATTCGACATCGCAGCATTTAGTAGCAAGTTACTGAGTCTTGATCCGTACAGCTTTTATAAGACCACTGTAAATGTGTATAGGTTATGTCATATATCGGATTCGTGTGCGTCGTGGTGGCCGCAAACGCCCAGTTCCTAAGGGTGCTACCTACGGCAAGCCTGTCCATCATGGTGTTAACCAGCTAAAGTTTGCCCGAAGCCTTCAGTCTGTTGCAGAGGTAAGTGATTTTTCAGTAACAGTTGTATCTGTCACCTCCTGGGGATGGTGGAGAAGGATTTGAGCACTTTTTCTGGTTAACTTGTACCTAGTGAGCCCTGTTGTGTTTAAAATGGGGTTTGTGATTTTTACTTCATCGTTTACTTAGTATACTAAATGTTGCTGTCAAAGTCAGTCTTTGTTACTAATCTGGCTTTGCTTGTGTATAATGGAAAGTGTTTTATGGTTAGTGTGAACCTTGGAACCTAAGCTTTTGAAGGGCAGTAAACTTTGTCTTGAAGAGCACATCTCCCCAGGTGTACAGAAGCTGCATTTACTCATATGGCTAATTTTTGATGTTCAGTTGTAAGTTGTCTTTCTGGGTTAGTAAATGAAGTTGTGCTCTGTCCCAAAGGTTGGCAAACAAGGGTTTGTTGCCTTCTGTAAACTAAAAATGTTTTGTTTTTGTTCTTAAAAGGCAAAGACGACTTAAACTAAGGAGACTATCGTGGCCTGCAAAGCCTAAAATAATATGCTCTATTATTAAAGTTTTGTATGAAGTTTGCTGATCCCTTAGTTGTATTAGAAAAGGACTAGGTTCCTAAATTTTGTTAGATACTAACATTTGTGCCTTGGTGGGGAAGGGGGTGATAATAGGCAATGGTTTCAAATCAGAGAATGTTTCATGTATTATTGTAGTAAGTCTTATCATATTTGGGGTCCTGGCCTCTGGGAAGATGCTTATAACTATTCAGGTAGTTAAGTGAGTGACCTTAGTCTCTTGTCTAGCGTGGTAAACTAAAGGGAATTCTTACTTCCTAATTTCCTTCTATGGGAGATGGAGGCTGACTTTGGGCCTTTTTTCCTGTTCCAGGAGAGAGCTGGGCGCCACTGTGGGGCTCTGAGAGTCTTGAATTCTTACTGGGTTGGCGAAGATTCCACGTACAAATTCTTTGAGGTCATCCTCATTGATCCATTCCATAAAGCTATAAGAAGAAATCCTGACACCCAGTGGATCACCAAACCAGTCCACAAGCACAGGGAGATGCGAGGGCTGACATCTGCAGGCCGCAAGAGCCGTGGCCTTGGAAAGGGTCACAAGTTCCACCACACTATTGGTGGTTCTCGCCGCGCGGCATGGAGAAGACGCAATACTCTCCAGCTCCACCGTTACCGCTAATATAAGTAATGTTTGTAAAAAATCTTACCTAATAAACAATTTAGGACAGTCATGTCTGCTTAAAAGTGTTCTTTAATTTGTCTGTTAAATTGAGTTGTCTGCACATTGTTCCATGAATGCATTGTCAAATTATGAAAGTTAAAGTGCAATAATGTTTGAAGACTTTAAGTGATGGTGTATCTTGTTTCTAATAAGATAAATGCTTTTGTCTTTGCTTTATCTTATTAGGGAGTTTATATGTCAGTGTTTAAAATGCTGTTTGGTATAATAGGTGTAAAATAAATTCTGTAAAAGTGGAATGCAGAAGCTAGCCATGTAGATTTGTTGGTGCATGTAATGAAACCTGCAGCTTCATTGGGGTGATGTAATGCTCTGGTTTACTCTCAAATGGCTGTTGTTATTAGGGGTTTGGAAAGAAAGAGCTTTTTAAATTGGATTTTGCTTGGAAGTATGAAGAGTATCCTAGTCTTTAATCATGATCATATGCAGAACAGTGTTAAGTAGGAACCACAATTTTAGGTTGAATCCAATATTCCATTTATGTAACTGGCTTTGGAAAGAATACTTTAAAAGAATGCCACCATTTTTTTAAAGAGAATTGAGTAAACCTACCTGTTACAGGAGGGTTGTCTTAAAAACGAAAATAAATCCTGCTTGACCGAAGTAAAATTGCCTTGGTCTCCACAGTGTTGGAGTTTGAAGTTACCATAAAATGTAGAGGCTCCTGATTCTATCCCACAACTCCATGGGGTCTGTAGAGTACTGAATTTCCTACAAAGCAGTCAGTTAATGGGTTTTACTCTGGTGTATATGAACACTTACAGAAATTGGACATGAGAAGACTTAAGATTTGTAAGCTAGTAACCAATGCTAGAATTGGGAAACTGGCTTTTAAGTATGAGGATAAAAAAGAGTTGGCTTTGATTAGAATTTTAAATACTTTATCCATGGTCTTTGTGACCATTATGAATCCACTAGCCACCTTAGGGGGAAAAACGGTTGGCTTTAAAAGTGTATCATTGCTCATTCCAAGTCCTAAGTCATCTTGGGTGAACCCACTTAGGCATTCCCATGGGCTGTTGAGAATAGTCATGTAGTTGGTGTCTGTACAAGTCTATGGTTTCCAACCTAATCCTTAACGTGTTATCCACAGTCATTTTTCTCAACCTTACTCAAACCCCTCAAAATCTTTGCCATTCCATAAACTTGCCAGCCCATCAATTGTGCCACCTTGATGTTAAGTATATCACTATTCTGTTTCCATTCTGTCTTCCCAGTAAAGAGGTTTCTGTTCTCCAGGGTGAATTTTGAGTGTGTAGGAAATAGAGGAATTGCCCCAACTTTTAAGATAGCTGACTTAATCCATAGTTTGATTTCAAAATCGAATTGCTGGTTTCCTTGAACCAGTTTTTATATTTTTTTTCAGGGCTCTTAGGCTCAGTTAAATGATTTCCAGAAAAAGGCTCAAAACTTCTTGAGACCTAAATTCCTTTCCACTCAAAAAGAGATCCTAAACCATATATATACTTTGTGTGTTAGAGGTTGTTCAACTAAAGGAATAAATGTTTATTAAACTAAAACAGACCTGTTATCCTTTGTCATCTAATACTAATAAGCAAGCCAAATACCCTAACCTACACAAAATTGTAACGGCAGAAACAGTCACTTTGAGAGAAAATAAAATGTACTTAGTCTTGAGAGTTTTTTCTCTTGGTTCTTTGGTCCTTGTGTGAATTAGAAAAACCCATTTAAATGTTTTTTCAAACTGAATGCTAGTTTGGGAAGAAGAGGGGGAGGGTTCAGGCTAAATGTCAGTGTTCCTTTTTTCCAAAAAGGGCTTGCTTCTATTCTTGCTACCCTATAGTTTGTTCTCCATACTGTAGCTTTTTAAGTGTTGTCATTCCGGTACTGGAAACTGAAGTCCCAGATCCATGAGCTTTATACTCTTCCCACCACTGGACTCATTTTCTGCTGCTGTCCTCATTTGATACTGCAGGTTCTTTGCTGTTCTTCAGAGAAGCCAAGCACTCTCCTAATGGCTTTATGAGAAAACTCCCAGATCTTAGATGTCACCTTAGAGGCTTTCCCTGACAATCCAACAAGCTGTTCTGTTTGCATTAATTCTAGATCAATGAGATTAAAACATACCCAAATCAATTAAAATTTTCTTAGAAATAGAGCAATTGGTTTCTCACAACCCCACAACTGCAGGTACTAATATTAAGTCCCTTTTGCTGATGAGCCAGACATAAGCAACTTGTTCAAGGTCAAAGTGGCTGTCTGAATTCAAATTCTCCCAATAAGATTAAGTTCAAATTTTGACTAGGTAATACATTGACATGGCTAAAAATTCAAAAAGTACAATTAGGGTTGACAGTAAAAGTCTCCCTTCAGGAAAAGTCTCAGTTCCCCTCTGGAGGCAGTCAATCTGATCAGTTTTTTGGATTTTCATCAGGAGATTCATACATGTACAAAAAACTCTTCTTTTACCCAGATGTCAATATATTGATTTTTTTCATTTAGTTACACATCTCAGAGCTTACTCTGTATCACTTCATGAAGATCTTCCTCGTTCTTTTTTATGACTGCATGATAACATCATGGATGCATCATAATTTGATGTGACCCCTTCTGATGAACATTTAAAATTATTTCCAATCTGTTGCTTTTACAGAATTTTTTTACATATATCTCAGTTTATCTGTAGGATAAATTCCTAGTAGAGTGGCAGAGTTAAAAACTATGTATTGGCCAAGAGATTCTGCTCTGCCAGTCTGATAGGAAAAATGGTATTAACCTAGTTTCATTTTTGCACTTGTGACTGTGGCAGAGGCAGTCATGGGCACACCATAGCCTTTTTTTTTTTCCTGGACACATACCTAAACGATGTTTTCCTGGTCCTTTATACATTTAGGTAGGAGTTTTATGACATTCTTGCCAGCAGAATGAACACAAATGATACATTACTTCCTCCAAGACGATCAAGAGTTGGTATGCCAGTGGAGGCCAATAATCCAAATAGCATAGCTACAAGATGGAAGAAAGCTGCTCAATCTCTATCAGACTGGGCAAGTGAGAAAATTTTGTGTTAAGCTGCTGTGTTAGTTGTGTTCATTCTTATGGCAGCCTAGCCTAGCTTGACCCTAACTAGTTTAATGAGTAAAGTTGAGCATTATTTATACATTTAAGAGCCATATTTGGGGGCACCTGGGTGGTTCAGTGGTTAAGTGTCTGCCTTTGGCTCAGGTCATGATCCCCGGGTCCTGGGATCAAGCACTGCCATCAAGCTCCCTGCTCAGCAGGGAATCTGCTTCTCCCTCTGCCTCTTTCTCTGTGTGTGTGTCAATGAATAAATAAAATCTTAAAAAAAAAAAAAGGAAAAATGTTGGCCTTAAAAAAAAGTCTTATGTTTGCTTTACAGTGACCTTTCATTATAATCTGTTGTCCATTTTTCTATTAGAATCCATACTTTTTAAGTACCATGTTGTATTAAATGGAGGGTGGCTGCTAGCTCATTGCACAACCATCATTACTCTGCTCTTAAGATTCTTATAGCTGGACCAGTTTCTCACACCATAAACAAAAGTAAACTCAAAATTGATAAAAGACCTAAATGTGAGACCTGCAACCATGAAAATCCTAGAAGAGAGCATAGGCAGTAATTTCTCTGGCATTGGCCATAGCAACAGTCTTCTAAATATGTCTCCTCAGGCAAGGGAAACAAAAGCAAAGATAAAGTATTGGGACTACATCAAAATAAAAAGCTTCTGCACAACAAAGGAAACAACAAAACTAAAAGACAACCTACAGAATGGAAGAAGACATTTGCAAATGATATATCTGATAAGTGGTTAATATCTAAAATATATAAAGAACTTGTACAACTCAACACTGAAGAAAACCCAAATAATGCAATTAAAAATGGGCAAAACACATGAACAAACGTTTCTCCAAAGAAGACACCCAGATGGTCAATGGACACCTGAAAAGATGCTCAACATCCCTCATCATTGGCAAAGAGATTCTGCTCTGCCAGTCTGATAGGAAAAATGGTATTCTTACCTAGTTTCAATTTTGCACTTATGGGTGTGGCAGAGGCAAAGTCATGGGCACACCAAATGCCAATCAAAACCACAATGAGGTTTCACCTCACACCTGTCAGAATGGCTAAAATAACACAGGAACACAAGAAGTGTTAGGGAGGGTGTGGAGAAAAAGGAATCCTCATGCACTGTTGGTGGGAATGCAAACTGGTGTAGCCACTGTGGAAAACAGTATGGAGGTTCCTCAAAAAATTAAAAAGTAGAATTACCATATGATCTAGAAATTTCATTCCTGGGTATTTACCCAAAGAAAATGAAAACATTAATTTGAAAAGATAGATGCACCCCTATGTTTATTGTAGCATTATTTACAATAGCCAAGATACGGAAGCAACCCAAGTGTCCATTGATAGATGAATGAATAAAGAAGAGGTTATATGTATACACATACATACACACAATGGAATGTTATTCAGCCTTAAAAAATATTCATATTTAGCCATTAAAAAAAGAATGAAATCTTGTCATTTGCAAAAACATGGATGGATCTAGGGGAAAATAGGTCAGAGAAAGATGAATACCATATGATTTCACTCATGTGGAATTTAAGAAACAAAGCAAATGAACAAAGAGAAAAAGAGACAAAAAACCAAACTCACATACAGAGAACGAACTGGTGGTTACCAGAGGGGAGGTGGGTGGGGGGGTGGGTGAAACAGGTGAAGGGGATTAAAAGTACACGTATCGTGATGAGAATTGAGTATAGAATTGTTGAATTGCTATCTCGTACACCTGAAACTAATATAACACTATATGTTAATTATATTGGAATAAAAAATATTCTTTTTTTTTTTAAAGATTTTATTTACTTACTCATGAGAGACAGAGAGAGAGGCAGAGGGAGAAGCAGCCTCCCAAGGAGCAGGGAGCCCGATGCGGGACTCGATCCCAGGACACCGGGATCATGACCTGAGCCAAAGGCAGATGCTTAACCATCTGAGCCACCCAGGCACCCTAAAAAATATTCTTAAAGGTAACTTTCTGTAGAATAAGTTTTGGAAACTCAACTGTTCATTTTATCCTTTTGATTCTGAGCTCTGGTTTCATCTCTAAATTCTGAAATTGCTAAGGGATATTAGTAGGTATATTGTATCAGTAAGGGAGACTTGATTAAGCTATAGTAACAAACATTCCCCCCAATCTCAGTGGCTTAAAATAATAAAGTTTTATTTCTTGCACATACTACATGTTCACTGAAGG